AGATGACCACTCTTCGGGTGCTGCTGCACATAGCCGCTCAGCGCGACTACGAGCTTCACTCTCTTGACTTCAGCACAGCTTTCCTGCAGGGCAGCCTGCACGAGGAGATCTGGCTGCGCCGCCCTCCTGGCTTCACTGGGTCGTTTCCTCCTGGTACCCAGTGGAGCCTCCGATGGCCAGTCTACGGACTCCGCCAGGCGCCCCGTGAGTGGCACGACACACTGAGGACTACACTTGTGGCTCTTGGGTTTGCTCCTACAGCCAACCCGTCGCTGTTTCTACGCACCGACACCTCCTTGCCGCTGTTCTACATCCTCGTGTACGTCGACGACTTGGTCTTTGCCACTGCTGACACTGCTGGACTCGCCCACGTGAAGTCCGAGCTGCAGAAGAGACACACGTGCACAGACCTGGGTGAACTGCGCAGCTACCTTGGCTTGCAGATCACCCGGGACAGAGCACAGCGCACCATTACCCTGACTCAGTCACACATGGTGCAGCAGGTCCTTCGGCGCTTCGGCTTCACGTACTCCTCGCCTCAGGCCACTCCTCTGTCTACTCGCCACTCGCTCTCAGCTCTACCTTCGGATGAGTCCGTAGAGTCGAGTGGCCCGTACCTAGAGCTTGTTGGCTGCCTCATGTACCTGATGACCTGCACACGACCTGACCTTGCATACCCTCTTAGCATCTTGGCACGCTATGCTGCTCCTGGGAGATACCGACCAGAGCACATGGCTGCAGCGAAGAGGGTGTTGCGCTACATGTGCAGTACGTCGGGCATGGGGCTAGTGCTTGGAGGGCGATGTCGAGTAGTCCTCACTGGTCACGGTGACGCTTCTTGGGCTGACGACCAGGCTACGCAGCGGTCGTCACAGGGTTACACCTTCAACCTTGGCTCCGGTTCTGTTTTGTTGCGGTCTACCCGCTCGTCCTCTGTTCTCGGCTCCATCTATGAGGTTGAGATCTACGCAGGGGCCATGGCTGCACAGGAGCTATGCTGGCTCACCTACCTTCTAACTGACCTAGGAGAGCAGCCTCGTTCTCCTCCAGTTCTGTGCGTAGACAACAAGGCCATGCTGGCCTTGTGTTGGGAGCACAGACTGGAGCATAGAACGAAGCACATTGCTCTCCGCTACTTCCTGTCTCGTGAGTTGCAGCAGCGCGGTCAGCTCCGCCTCACCTACATGGCCTCTGAGGCCAACACTGCTGATATCTTCACGAAGGCCCTTCCGCCTTGTGATCATTAGCGCTTCTATACTGTGCTAGGTCTTGTGCCTACCTGACCTCACCAGTTTACTTCTTGATCTTGTTTGTACTGTCTTCTGTCTATACCTGCCCTTGCTTATTTTACCTTTATATATACGTTCTTGCATGTGATTTGGCCTTGTGGCCCTACTCTTGTGCTCGGACTGTGTGGTGACTTTGTGATCCACCCTGAGCTTGCTTTACTTTGCGTTGCTTTGCTTGACTGGTCTTGTGACCACTTGTTCTCCCCCACTTTGCCTATGGGGGTGTGTCAGAACATTATAGCTTATACATTTGTGTAGGCTGTATTGGGGTAGCCCATATGGGGTACAACCCAATTAGGGTTAGTACTTGTACCCAACTCTTTCATAGTTCATTCATCCATTCTCACTTCTCGTCACTTATTGGCTTGTTATCAATCAAGGTGATTCATTTATCCCAGCCTACGTATCGTGGGAGAACAGAACAGATCAGATTCAGAACCACTCGATCAAGTCTTGCTTGGCCATAAGCGTTCTATCTGTAGCAAACCTCCCTGACGAATTCAACAGCGTCTCTGTGAGGTGAAGCCAGCAAGCCAGCCAGCCAGCTTTGGGGACTTCAGTTTCCGCCTTTCCTTGCTTGAGAAGCGAAGAGACTGGTTTTCAAAACAGGCGGTATGGATGCGTTTCAACTGGCCGACAATTTACACCTCAGGGGATCACCGATGCGCTGCAGGCGGTCCTTGAAGTGCCTGAGCTCGCCGGCGCAGCGATTGATCATCGCGAAAAAGGGAAGCTCGAAAAGCCACTCAGAATACACTCAGCTGCAACTTCCTCGATAATTTTTGCCCGGCACATTCAAGTCAAGGTTTTAGAACTGCATAGCGTTAGTAACTGACAAACCAGCTACCCAGTCACTATTCCGCTGCATTCTGTACACGTGCGTGTATCAAATCAGATACTACACCTGCTACGTTGTCGTTGCAAAACCGTTACGGTCTGCACCACATGAAAGTTTACCAAACCAAACCTATCCAACCGATTAGAAAGTTGCAACTATGCAACCCCAACTGCCATCCATACGCGACAACACACGTGGCATCCAGTATCAACCTGATGGTCCACGTAAGCATTCACCCATCAAAACGTACCCGCACCCCATCCTTTAGATATATCGTTTGTTCACGCAATCTAGACGGTTCACGTGTCGCCTTGTCAGCTACTCGCACATCATGTTACTCCTTCGCGAGCACCACCTCGCGACTACTCGCTGACACATCGCACTCGCATCTTCTCCGTCCATCTCCTCATCACTCAGCTCGTAAATACGTGACACTTGGAAGCAACCCACCGGTGCGCACGTCGCAACTCCCGTGTAAGGGACCCACTAGCATTTTGCCACTTGGCATCCATCGGAGGGTGCATCATGCCTATCCACCCTATCCAACATTGCACCCTCGCCGTACAAATGTCGCACCGCCACATTCTCGTTTACTTCGCCATATTTCTCGCCACCCAGTCGTTTTGCTCACGCTACAAGGTTGCGACTCCATCCGCACCGTCCATCTGCACACATTGTCTCCAACTCCCAGCAGCCACGTTCCGCTCACAGCCGCAATCTACCCCATACACTTGCCTTCAGATTGTCCACTCGCACATCTAGTAACCATCCATCCATCTCCTCGCCATAATCATTCGCTCAATGTGTGCGAAACAATCTTGACCGTACACCTGTCGCGCCCTCGTCTAATATCAACTCGAGCTCCCAACCAGTACGGTCAGAATGCTATTATCTAGCCTGTAGTGGGGTGCTCTATAGGGAGTACAACCCTGTTAGGGTTTGCTATATGTATCCCAGCTACTGCTAGTGAAATCATTCCTTTGTTCATTTCTCTCTTGCCTAGCTAGTCAAACCCTAGCTATGGCTCCTCACTATGCTTATGATTCTCACATGGTAACAGAGCATCTACGCTTGTGGCCTGTGGGCCCACCTAACTGCTTCTGCTGCTGCTCTGTGTGTTGCACGCCTCGTGGCGTGCCGCGGATTTTTCTTCCCCCCGTGTGCTCGCAGCGTGCGGCGGTTTTCTGCCCGCTGTGCGCCCCAGAGCATGCGGCGGTTCTCTGCCCGCCGTGCGCCCTGAGGCGCGCGGCGGCCTTCTACCTCGTCGGTCCGCGCGTCGCCCCCGGGGGGCGCTTCGACAGGCGACGGGGACCAGCTCGTCGTCCCCCATCGCCCGTCCCAGCCAGCACGGGCTGCGCTAGCCCCGAGCGCGGCCCGTACAGGGTGCGCCCGGCCCGCGCGCAGCCCGTACGAGCTGCGCCAGGCCCGCGCGCGGCCCGTACGGGCTGCGCCAGGCTCGTGCGCAGCTCGGGCCGCCTGCGCGCGGTTCGTCGGGCTGTGCCAGGCCTGTGGGCGGCCCGTTCCTCTCCACCCCTGAGCTGCTCACTGTCCCCTGTGCTTATGACGGGGCCCCACCCCTGCTGCTGCCCGTTCTCCTGAATTAGGGTTTGGGGGTGGGAGGTATGGGGGTGCAGTTTTTTGTGCGCCGTTCCACTACTTTTCCTCCTCCTCCGTCTCCCGCTGCTGCAGCTGCCGCTCAGGGAGGTGGGTGTGTGGGAGCCGAAGGAGTGGTGCTAGGGGGGTGACGTGGGAGTGGAGTTAGGGTTCAGCAGGGGGTGTGTGTCAAAGGTGTGGGTCAGTTGGAGGAGGTTGTGTGAAGGTAGCTGTCGTGTCGCCTGCAGCGCCTGTAGTCCGACGCCCTTGCTTCGGTAGCCAGTGAGCCTGTTGCACCAGTCGCCAGTGGGTGCGTTGCTCCTGCCGCTCGTCTTAGCCGCGGAGCCAGTCACTCTAGTAGTCCGTCGCCCTTGCTTCGTTAGCCACTGAGTCAGCCGCTCCTGTGCCCGTGCCTCTGCAGCTTCAGTCGTTGCCTCCCATCTTCTCTCCTTCCACAGTTCCTCCTCCTCCTCACTTGCCCTCTGTGATAGCCTCTAGCTTTGCTTGCATTTGTGAACCTGCTCTATGACTGCGTGCTCTGCTGATTACACCCCACTTTGGCTATGGGGGTGTGTCAGAATGTTATTATCTAGCCTGTAGTGGGGTGCTCTATAGCGAGTACAACCCTGTTAGGGTTTGCTATATGTATCCCAACTGCTGCTAGTGAAACCACTCCTTTGTTCATTTCTCTCTTGCCCAGCTAGCTAAACCCTAGCTATGGCTCCTCACTATGCTTATGATTCTCACAAATACGCCATCACTCCTACACGTAAATTCGATTGTTCTAACGTACAGTATAGTGACACGCGTAGTTTTGTTCGTGCGTGTCAAATTGGGCATAGGTTCCAGTTCAATGCTTATCCATTATGATATCCAATCGGAACGCCTCACGCCCGCAATGTTGTGACGGGCACGTCCAACCCAGTCGCGACATATGGAACCCTCCGCGACACGCGCCGCCAAGTGCGGCGCACCATTAGTCCGCCTGCGCACCTGGTTCACACCTGCATGTCGCATTGTACATCATCCTCTACTTGCCTGTGTTATCTCGAACAACAATACCCAAAACGAGTTCTCCCATTCATAACAAGGTCGCACACAATGAGTACCACAGCTCCTAACTACACCCGTCCTCTTCAACTCTCAATCACACACATGCAACCCCCTTACCCCACATATCCAAACTTCCAACACCGCACACATAGCCGTACAAGATTCCATCAACGCAGCTCTCCAACTGTCCCTTCAACCGTCCACCACCCACATCCTCTATAAAGGGTCTACTCAGCACCAAGTGATGCCGAAAGGTCGTCATCCCCTACGATGCCTTCGGACTGGGCGGCGGCCGCGGGCTTCATGTGCTCCAGGCCGCACGCAAAGATGCGCAGGCCATGGTGCCCCCAAATCCACGCCTCGCGCTCCGCGTCATACTCGGGGTTGCGGATACGGATCGCCTTCTCCACGGCCTCCTTGACCAAGACCTTGAGCCCATCCACAACGTGGGCGTTCCCGCCCGCCGAGTTGGAGAGCCGGCCTTTCCGCGCCTCCCAGTAGAGGACGCAGTCGGAGACCTGCGCCCAACACAAAAAGCGTCAGTCCATGCATTTCCAATAGGATGCACACCATTACACACATCGTGCGCACACACTCACCACATGCTCCAACCAGGCTAGGTAGTACACCTTAAGGGTCATCACCAGCCCTGCCTTCTTCGGCTTGAAGGCAGCCTTCGCACATGTCGCGAACGCCCGGGAGGCAAACGGCATGCCATCTCTGTCGTGCGCCCAGCTGGTCAGCACTAGAGTTTCTGCACACCACATGCGAAGCGTGGGTATCAATGTCCACCATTCTCGCATTGGTGCATGACTAGAAACGGTCGACGACTCCAACACGCGTCTCATGCACTCACCAGGGGGGTCAGCGCCAAGCCCAATACGCTCCCTTATCTTCTCGATACTATGCTCCTTTTCAGGTGCCCACGGGCTGGATGCGTCCCTGTCGTCCCGGAAGAGGCCGAACTTGGGAAGTGCAATGTCTCGCACGCGAGCGGCAGCCCTTGTCTTCCACTCCGACAGCGTCTTGTTGAGATCCGCCCGTCGCGACTTGTCAGCCGCCAATGCCAAACAGGCGAAGCTGTGAGGCAGGCGGTCCAGCATCGCGCACACTCCGTGAGTCTTATCGTCGCTGCTCGGGTAGAAGGTCATTGACGACGTGGGTCTGTTGAGAAACATGTGAACTCTAGCCAGCTCGCAAACCCGCTGCGCACCCTTAGTATACACCGTCACCATCAGCATTCACCGTGGACCATCAACGGGTACAGAGTGCAACCCAATCCGAACGGGAAGTTACTGAACCGAGATGGAAACAGGCCCGCTCACCTTCCACGCCTTGTCTGTCGGCAGATGCTCCAATGCGCGTTGCAGAATAGGAGACTTTGCAGTACGCATATGACGACCACCAGAACCATGCGTATCTTCCTCGTCGTCCTCTTCTTCATCGTCCGACCCGCTGCTCCATGTCTCGCCACGCTGATGCTTCGGGTTCATGCACCCCTGCTCTGGGTCTCTCTGCTTCCAAGCCTTACGCTTACGAGATCCACCAGAAGGCTGCGCCATTGCATTCAAGAACAGCGCCTCCAACCGCGCGTTCTCCTTGGCGCTCCTGTCCTGAGCCCGGATGAGTTGCTCGAGAACCCTGCTCGAGATGCGCACGTCATTGCCGTCGGTGTCCACTGGGGTCCCGCATGCGCGGTCCACATGCTCGTCCACATGTCCTCGGCCTTCTCCCCGAAACACATCCGTCTCCCCCGCGCCCCGACTTTCGCGCCCGTCTGCTTTGGGTGAAGCGGTTCCCGCACACCCATCGTCGGTCGTCTTCCCTCCAATGGTAGGTTCGCCGGATTCTTCGGGTGAGGCTGAGGCCGATGTGTCTGAGTCTGCATCGCCATCCTCTTTATTGCGCTCGAACGATGAAGCACTCTCTGCACCACTGCCATCATCTGCGATGATACAGAGGCTCCAGACAAGCACGGTACCACATGTCAGCTATACTTGTTGTACACGGGGGTTCATATGTATAGACAATGCGAATACTCGCATTAATACAACGAGTTACCCATCCACGCTCTTTCTGCATACCTTGCTCATGCTGTACCACCTCGTTTCCCTTCTTGGCCATGCTCAGACGCTTAGGCGGTATCGGCCCGCGTTTCCCGTTCGACAGCCAACCGCGCGGCATTGTCAGTTGATACGACGCTCATAGGTACGCCGGCGGATTAGATACACGACGGGTGCGCCCTCCCGTACGAGTATCCTCTGAAGCAAACGAAGTATCCATTGTAGCAACAATAGTATCCAATGAGATGCTCACAGAATGACACCCGGTTCTATACTTCTACGTATAGCTTCCGCTCAACTTCTTACCACACCGGAGCCCATCTTGGGCAGTGAGTTTGGTAGGCAATACGACTTCGTGGCCATTTGGATGACCGCAATCCGAAACGGCTAATACATGCACACCACGGCATCCGCCGCCATGTACATGTGTGCACACATGAACCATAACCGCGCACATCCTGGCAACACAACCGTATCGTTGGAACTCGTTTGTGAGTACATCCTGTCTCACGGAAGTATTCACTGTGCACGTTGTTGACGTACATCCTTAAATTATACATCTCACCAATTGCACGTTACACTAGCACACAATGTACCAACCAATTGAGCTACATTGTGTAAGCAAGAGCCTTTGCACCTATCAATCGCGAATAGAAGCAGAAAATCTGACGCCCTGCAGATCTTTTACTGCATTTCTCGCAAAACATACCGTACAATTGCATTCATGTGTACGTCTATGCATCTACATCAACTATGCAGGATGGTCTGCCAACTTCTCATGTGCAACAGAGTATTCCACACCCTCCTCGGCTTCGTTGTGCCGAGCCACCCGCCGCTGCCGTTGTGCACAGGGGCCGTTCCCCCACTCTCAGCATTGTCAGGGTCGTCTGGTTTGTTGGCCGCCTTGTTGTTGCTATCCACCACCCTCTGCCTCTTTGACGTGCGCGTGGCAACCACTTGCTTCCTCCCTCGTTTTAGCTTCCAGTTCACGCCCTCCCGCGCCTCCCTCCAGCTCCGCCACCTCCACCACCTCCGCGCTTCCATCAAGAGCTGCAGATCTTCCTTGGTGCATCCACGCAGCATCGCCTTCTCTGCGGCTGACAGACTGACCGTGTTGGGTATCTTGTCTCGTGGCCTCAGGACGAACGCACCTGCGACGTACGCAAACGCCGCCTCCTCCTCCGAGGTGTATGCACCTAGCCGCTCTTGCTTACGCTTTTCTCCTTCCTTGATCAGGATCTTCACGCCGAACTTGCCTGATGCTTTCTCCAACTTGACTCTTGTGACTTCGTTGCACACGCGTCGTCACCATCCTCTTTGCTCCGTGTCTAACACGAGATCCTCTTCTTCTTCTGCCTTCACCGTCTCGTGGCTGCTTGTATCTCCCCACGCATCAGCTTCAGCCGGCACCGTCAACCCGAGCAGCGGTCTCCCGTGGGTGAACATCCAATGAGGTATGGCCCTCCCGACAGCAGCGGGTTTTGCAGCAAGCGCGCTGTCGGATCACATGCAGCGAACGAGGAGGCCAGCGCAACACGGGTGGCATTGCGTACGCCATCCTCCTCTAGACTGCTGTCATCACGCCTCTTGCGACCGGATGGACGTTGTGGAGTGTGTGGGGCATTCTTGGTGCCACATGCCTCTGCTTTCGCGCCGGATCTCACGGGGTTGCCTTGCATCAGTAGTTGGGTTGCAGCGGACACCACCTTGTCGCGCCTCAATCCCACAAAACTGGCTATGACGGTGAAGCTCGCGTCCAGGTACATCACATCGTTCTTCAAAGTCGCCATTTCCCTCATCATCGCCGTTAACCGTGCGTCATCCCCGGCTTGAGTGACCGGTGCTTGCCTCACATCTTCCATACCAGCGTTCCTCTCCCGCACCACTGCCCCCCCCTCTGTTACCCGGACTGCGTCCTGCGGGGGAATTTCGATCCCCACCGCTTCCAACTGCTGAATGAGATCTCCGGTCGCGTGTGCGCACAAGTCGCGCCGCATCTCCCGCCGGTATTGGTGCGGCGTCACACCCTGAAACCAGAGCCCGCTCAATAACGTGGTGAAGTCGGACATCACCAGGGTCTTCAGGTACTGGCAAAAAAATTCCACAGTCCTGCTTGTTCGGCTGCTGTGGCAGCTTATCCTCCTGCACTTCAACAAACCCACACTACAGTTAGCAATCCATCTACCATCGTAAACATTGTGCACACAGGTATGCGCATTCACTGGTACCCTCACCCGTAATATTATGCACTTCGCCTCCAACAGCTGCTTGTCCACAAACTCCATGTTCGAGTCAGGGTTACTCGCCTTGGCGAGTTCGGACAGCACACTGCACGTTACCGGCCGAAATCGTTAAAACAAGTTCTGGGTTGCTGCCAGCGACATGCAACGTCGACAGTGAACCCCGTACTCACAGCTTGGTGCCTGTAAAAATCATGCGCGTGTTCCTTGTGTTTATGCTACTGTCCAGCAAGACCAACTTCATTCGCTCTTTGCCTTCGGATTTCACGGACTTGGTAAGCACCGATGGAGATACAGCGATGACGAGCGAGTAGTGCTCCCTACGCTTAACATGAGAGGGTATGTTGGGATTAGGGTTAGACAGCCATCGGTGTCATGCTAAAGAATCCGCTCATGAACCGGATATTTGTGATACGTACCCCTCTAGCACATGGATCGCGAGATAGTCGTGCTGCAGTAGCGGAAGCCCGTTCCCCATTGTCAAAGGCGCACCACACGAGTTCGTCCAGAAGTACGCCTTGCAGTCCAAGGCAGCCCATGTTTTCCCGTCACGGAGAGTCGGCTTCCGGATGCTAAGCAGCCTGCACAGTTAATGAACAAGAAATAACAAAGCGTATATGATGTTGCCCATACATCAGATACTATGCAAGAAAGCGTCAACTAGGTGACCGCCGTGACGATACTTACACGTTGTGAAAGTCTAGCACACTATCAGTAATCCACTGATCATCCTCGATCGACATGAGGTCGTCCTTATCCACCTCACACCCGACGCCGCGGTGATCTTTAAGCGTCATGTTTCTGTACGAAGTCTTCATGTAATTCCGTGCGACGAGGGCCACCGAATCTTCCGGCACCTGCTCCCGCGCCGTATCCTCCTTATGAGTAGCAAACTTCCTGGCCCTTCCGGAGTCCTTAGTCGGCGGGATCGGCCCTGGATTCTTCATGTTAGACTCGGCCTTTTCGACGACCTGATTCTGCACGTCGGCGGGGCAGGATCTTGGTTGTCGGAGCTGCTGCTAGTTTTGGGTTGGTAGAACCTGTAGCGCTTAGATGTCAACTGCTTAGGATTCACCATCATGATCTAACAACGACTAGAATACAAACTACACCGGCTGATTAAGACGAGAGCAGGTGGGGTTGGCCGGAGGAACACATTTACGGGGAACGCAAGCGATGAGGATACTATGGAAAATGAAGGAGATAGAAAGGCATAACCCTCTTGGATCATGCACATCTGGTGTGACCATGTAGAGCTCCATTGATCTACACCGTTGGCGCAAGCGTGCATGCGATGGCCAGATGTGATGCAACCACACGAGAGGATGTGATGGTTCAGCGCCATGCAGATCCACATGTGCTAATCCTAGGGTTTCGGATGATGTGGTCGGACGTTGAAGCCGGGTTACCAAGCCGATGCATGCAAGCGAATGTGCGGTTGTGTACCTGTAGTTCAAATTTTTTGATATGGAGGCCGAATGACGCGAATTACGGTAACGATGTACGCCGTATGGTGAACATTGTCGGAACATTATAGCTTATACATTTGTGTAGGCTGTAGTGGGGTAGCCCATAAGGGGTACAACCCAATTAGGGTTAGTACTTGTACCCAACTGTTTCATAGTTCAATCATTCTCGTTTCTCATCATGGTATCGAGCAAGTTCCCTAGTGGGAACGCTACCTAGGGCCCACCACGATTATTTTTTCCTGCCCGGAGCGCGCTTCACTCCTGCCCGAGTCGCGTTTCGTGCGCCCTACCTACCTTCGAGCCGCCCTTAGTGGCCCCTCTCACGGCCCCTTTGGCCGCCCTTACGGCCCCTCGCGCCGTCCTCTAAGGCCCCTCGCGCCGCCCTTACGGCCCCTTACGGCCCCCTAAGGCCCCTCGCGCCGCCCTCTAAGGCCCCTCGCGCCGCCCTTACGGCCCCTTACGACCCCGCCTAGGCCCCTTACGGCCCCTCCGCGGCCCCGTCTAGGCCCCTTACGGCCCCGTCTCGGCCCCTCAGCGGCCGCGTCTAGGCCCCTTGCGGCCCCGTCTACGCCCCTCCGCGGCCCCGTCTAGGCCCTCTTTCGGCCCCGTCTAGGCCCCTTTCAGCCCCGGCTAGGCCCCTTTTGGCCCCGCCTAGGCCCCTCTCGGCCCCGTCTAGGCCCCTTCGCGGCCCCGTCGCCGCCACCTGTGGCCCAGTCGCTGCCACCTACGGCCACACCGCCGCCACCTGCAGCCTCGCTGCCACCTGCGGCCCCGCTGCCACCTTCGGCCCCGTCACCACCACCTACGGCCCTATCACCGTCACCCGCGGCCCCGTCGCCCTCCCCTAGCGACCCTATCACCGCTCCGCTGCCCAGCGGCCGAGCCGCCAAGCAGCACAGCACCCGAGCCGCCCACCTACCGAGCAGCCGAGCCGCCAAGCAGCCGAGCCGCCGAGCAGCCGAGCCGCCCAGCAGCCGAGCCGCCCTGCCGCCGAGCCGCCCAGCAGCCAAGCCGCCTTGCACCTGAGCCGCCCAGCAGCCGAGCCGCCCTGCCGCCGAGCCGCCGAGCAACCCTACTGTCTAGCAGCTCACTTCCTCCTAGACCACTACAGTCATGGCTACCCCCAGTGTCCTCACTTTTGATGCTGAGGGCCGTGCCATTGACTTTGAGGTCTGGGTCGATGACCTCCAGCTTTTTCTCTAGTGCGATAGGGCAGACGGACTCTCTCTATTCGATCTCACCTCTGGTGTCTCTCCTGCCCCGCTTGCTACTGCTGACAGCACTGTTCGCTCACAGTGGGCCACACGCGATGCTACTGCTCGCCTTGCTGTTCGTCGCCTCTTACCGACCACTAATTGTGCACACTTTAGCCAGTACAAAATGCTCCATCCGCCCGTTCGTCGTGGGTGAGTGTGCTCTTAGCACAGACGTCCTTGAGGACAGGCAGGAGGAGTTCCAGTGCTTTGCTGCTGCTTTGCCTCATCTCGTGTCCACGCTAATTGCCCCTGAGGGAGACCCGGATGCACCAGACATCCCGACTCCTCGATCGTACGCTGAGGCGATTTAGGGTCCCTACTCCTCTCAATGGCACTCAGCCATGGACGCAGAGATGGCTTCCTGGAAGTCCACAGGCACCTACGTTGATGAGGTTCCACCTCCTAGGGCGAACATCGTCAGTCGCATGTGGATCTTCAGGGTGAAGCGGCCGCCGGGTTCTCTGCCTTTCTTCAAGGCGCGTTACGTAGCTCGAGGCTTCAGTCAGCGGCATGGAGTTGACTTCTTTCAGACCTTCTCTCCCACCCTGAAGATGACCACTCTTTGGGTTCTCCTGCACATAGCCGCTCAGCGCGCCTACGAGCTTCACTCTCTTGACTTCAGCACAGCTTTCTTGCAGGGCAGCCTACAAGAGGAGATCCGGTTGCGCCGCCCACCTGGCTTCACTGGGTCGTTTCCTCCTGGTACCCAGTGGAGCCTCCGGCGGCCAGTCTACGGTCTCCGCCAGGCGCCCCGTGAGTGGCACGACACACTGAGGACTCATCTTGCGGCTCCTTGGTTTGCTCCTTCTACAGCCAACCCGTCGCTGTTTCTACGCACCGACACCTCTTTGCCGCCGTTCTACATCCTCGTGTACGTCGTCGACTTGGTCTTTCCCACTACTGACACTGCTGGACTCGCCCACGTGAAGTCCGAGCTGCAGAAGAGACACACGTGCACAGACCTGGGTGAACTGCGCAGCTACCTTGGCTTGCAGATCACCCGGAACAGAGCACAGCGCACCATTACCCTGACTCAGTCACACATGGTGCAACAGGTTCTTCAGCGCTTCGGCTTCACGTACTCCTTGCCTCAGGCCACTCCTCTGTCTACTCGCCACTCGCTCTTAGCTCTGCCTTCGAATGAGTCCGTAGAGCCGAGTGGCTCGTACCCAGAGCTTGTTGGCTGCCTCATGTACCTGATGACCTGCACACGACCTGACCTCGCATACCCTCTTAGCATCTTGGCACGCTATGTTGCTCCTAGGAGACACCGACCAGAGCACATGGCTGCAGTGAAGAGGGTGTTGCGCTACGTGTGCAGAACGTTGGGCATGGGGCTAGTGCTTGGAGGGCGACGTCGAGTGGTCCTCACAGGTCACGCAGACGCTTCTTGGGCTGACGACCAGGCTACGCAGCGGTCGTCACAGGGGTACACCTTCAGCCTTGGCTCTCGCTCTGATTCGTAGCGGTCTACCCGCTCGTCTTCTGTTCTCAGCTCCAGTTGTGAGGCTGAGATCTACGCAGGGGCCATGGCTGCACAGGAGCTACGCTGGCTCACCTACGTGCTGACTTACCTAGGAGAGCCGCCTCGTTCTTCTCTAGTTCTGTACGTAGACAACAAGGCCATGCTGGCCTTGTGTCGGGAGCACAGACTGGAGCACAGAACGAAGCACATTGCTCTCCGCTACTTCCTGGCTCGTGAGCTGCAGCAGCGTGGTCAGCTCCGCCTCACCTACGTGGCCTCTGAGGCCAACACTGCTGATATCTTCACCAAGGCCCTTCTGCCTTGTGATCATCAGCGCTTCTATACTTTGTTAGGTCGTGTGCCTACGTGGCCTCACTTGCTCACTTCTTGATCTTGTTTGTACTCTACTCTTTCTATACCTGCACTTGCTTGTTTACCTTTATATATATGATCTTGCATGTGAAATGGCCTTGTGGCCTTGCTCTTGTGCTCGGACTGTGTGGTGACTTTGTGATCCACCCTGAGCTTGCTTTGCTTTGCTTGACTGGTCTTGTGACCGCTTGTTCTCCCTCACTTTGCCTATGGGGGTGTGTCAGAACATTATAGCTTATACATTTGTGTAGGCTGTAGTGGGGTAGCCCATAAGGGGTACAACCCAATTAGGGTTAGTACTTGTACCCAACTTTTTTGTAGTTCAATCATTCTCTTTTCTCATCAAACATTCGTGTATGTGTCTTTTCGCGCGCTGAGTCCCGGTTTTTGCAATCGAGGCGTACATGGTTATTAAACTTGTACAACAAGTATACGCGATTGCAATGTGTTATGTTACGTCAGTTGAAGGTGGACTGAGTTTGCCAAAACTTTTGTGAGTCGACATGACAAAGAATCAAAGATATGCAATGGTGTTGGTGGTTGTGGAAACTGTTGATGATAATTTTAAATACCCGATAAATAAGTTACAATCATTGGTGGGGCGGTGGGACAATTGTATATGCCGAATCACATACAACACATACACACATAATATAATAGTACCTTTGACTGGAACGAGTACGGCTATGTTCTGTGTGCACACCACACAGCTTCCTGCACATGCGTGTGCTCGAACCAGCCCAACTTCGTTGTACACGAGTGCACGAGATGTGCTGGGCAGGGTTTTCACAGCAGCAATTCCTAGGGTTTCACGGCTGTAGGATGGGGGGGAACAGTTGCCTGGTGTGCAAGATGGTGTTTAAGGACGACAGCAGGTTACAGTCCCATGTAGCGAATGGGGATGTTTGTCGCGAGGAGTTGAAGAGGAAGCGTGAACAACTTTTGTGGGCGGCATTTTTTGAAGTCGTTGCGTGCGAAGGAGAGAGTAGATCAAATACCCCACCGCCATCTAGGCTTAAAAACAACGATGGCAGCTTTCTCTCCGTTGCTCCAACGGTGTCGATACCTGAAGTTAGTAAGGTTGGCGACGCGGATACACCATCCGACGGCGCTAACGCCGAGTCTACAGAAGGCAGCGATAGGACGGAGATTTTTTATACAATGACTAAATTGTACCTGTTTTTCCGTGACGCCGATCTGTCGTACCGGGAAGTTAACCATCTGCTACACATTTTCCGCAACCCTCGCTTCAACCTAAGGGCTCTCAGACGATGGCGCAACTGGGTGGATGTGCGCCGCTGGGGCATGGCGCGAGCTCCAGCCGACATGGTCCCGTGGAAAACGGAGGAGATAGTGGTGAGGTGTCCCAAAGGACTGCAAATGAAGCTGCTACTGCACTTCCACGACACCGAGTTGGTACGTGATGGGAGGCCAACTTTGAGGCGATGTCGGGGTGACGTGTAGATGGCCCGCATCATGTTCTCACCCAAGTTTTTGCACTACACACACAGATCTTGAAGAAGCTGGTGCGGACGTTCTCATCCAAAAAGGGGTTCGTATGGAAGCCGAGGAAGATTTATCGGAAGAAGAACGAGAGGGTATTTGAAAGACCAGAGACAGGTGATTGGATGCACTCTGCTCAGGTATGCACATGTTTGTTGTTCAGTTGTCATATGTCGTGCATACTGGTACCTGCACGAGGTGTCACAACGCTCACCGGCTCGTGCGCTCTACATGGCAGAAGGAGATTAATGACGACCAGGCACTCGTACTAGGCGTGCTGATATACAGCGATAGCACGCAGGCATCACGGAATGGACGAAGGAACGCGTGGCCTGTGCTGATCTCACTTGTCAACATACCCAAAGAATTGCGAGGAGTGGAGCACGGGCACACATTCGCGGCGGTGCTTCCATTCCCGCCTGAATGGGCGTCGCCTTCGGAGAAGACGCGCGTGAACAGGAGGCGCTGAAGATAATACTCGCGCCCATCATGCGAGAGTCCGCCAGGTATTGGGAGGGGAAGGGGGTGGGGATGATAATGATACACGGGTGGGGAAGGGGGGCCACCCCAGTTAGTAGCCACCCTTTTGGGAGATATGCATACGATCCATCACTAAGTGAACACTATGTGTGCATTGCGGCACTATGCAGCGCGCCAGTACGCTTCTTCTACTACACAGACGCGGACGGGAAAGGTGCACAAGGCGGTCCCTTGCATGTACGGATACCTTGCCGACTTCCCGGAATCCAGCAGAGCCTCCGCAACTCTGCAGCAAGGATCGCATCGGCCATGCACTAACTGCTATTCTGTGAAGGGGGGGTTGACCATGATGGTGGGGAAGTGTGATCCACGGACCCCCAATCAGCAGAGGGACATTGTTCGTCAGATCTTGGCGTGCAAGAAGAAGGGTGAGGCAGACGATGTGCGGAAGTTATGGTCAACCCATCCGATCGAGGTGTGTTTTCTGGTGTGCGGTTTGGTGGTGCGTACTGAATGGGGGCTGGATATCATGTGGACTGTTTGACAACACTGTCTCGTCTGTTGGATGGTTGCAGTGCGTGCTTCAAAGGTGGAATTTCGCAGACATAGAGTGGGGAAACGTGTACCTGGCATGCCTAGCAAACACACTGCACGTGCTGGACTCCGGTGTGCTGATCCACATGATGGACTCCTACATCGAACCTCTTGGAAAGGTTGAGATGCGGCTGCTTGAAAGGTGAGTTAGGTGTAGTCGGGTGTGAGAGCGGTAGCCAGCTATATTCTGCAGGGGTTTAGGTGGGGTCTAGGCCCCCATGTGTGTCAGCGGATGACGACATCGTACTATGTATGTGCGCGGTCGCAAGAAGGAGTTCAAGCGTTTCACTCCAAGCGTTCTCCTCCGTATCCCTGGGGGATCATCGTTCTTCAATTCTGGCGCAAACTACGCGGCGTTCGAGCACAAGAGCATGATGCAGATAATGTCGATAGTGGTGGCAGACGAGAGTGCATTGAAGGATGGACCGGAGGGAGAGCTGCGTGCTTTGCAGGTCAAGGCGTTCCGATTGTATGTCGTGTTCTATAAGGCGCTTCTGGGGATTGATAGGCACACACACACGACAATTGCGATTGCCCGGCAGCATGCGATAGCGTGAGTACTTGTATACCCCACGCCGTTGGGTCAACAAGTTTTATGGGAGGCTATGCCTGAAGATTGCACAGCTATTTTGAGGTCGCCAAATACGGTGATGCATCCAGTATTGTGCCTTGTCGGGGGTGCAGGTGCAGGTTGGTGGCGTTGCTACCAAAGGCATTCCCATCGCAGGCATCCCACTGGAAGCTCCCAAAGATACACATGATAAGACATTTGTTCGACAACGTGAAGGAGCGTGGGATGCCGCACCATTATTCAATCGAAATGTGGGAGCGCACGCACAAGGGCACGGTGAAGGGTCCAGTAAGAGGGAGCAATTGGAGCGACATACCTCGACGAATCGTGGAGGAGGAGGTGCAGCGCGAAGTGTACCGCGAGGTGGCGGCGGGCGCTGGGGGTGGGCGACAGTACGCGTGCGCCTTGCGTGAGGTGCGTTAGGGGGTCTTGGCGACGATGATGCCCAGTGTTGGTAGTCCAGACTACACCGTACACCGGGGTGGATGTGTGCTTCAAACACCGTGTGGTTCGTTGTGCGAATGCGTGTGGTACGTGCAGGCAATCATGACGAAGAAACCGGTGCTCACGAAGAAGTATTGGATAATGCGGATTGGCGGAGCGTCAGATCCAGTGTACGATGAGTACATAACCGCGCTGGGAGACGATATGAAGGGTTTGGCTGACGAGTTGAAGGCGTTGGGTCTGGCTACCAACAGCGTGCAGGTGAAGTGATTACAATGTGGCGGACATGTGACATTTGTAGTCTTCCATGATGGTGCTCCCCGCACTCATGATGTGCACGTGTTGTTGGTTCGGTGGGGATGGGGTGACAGGTCCATACGGCGGTGGCCATTCCGCGCACAAGAGGCGGCGAGCTGGTGGCCAAAGGGACATTTATGAAGGCGTCGCCCCGAGAGAGGTGGTATTCGGACGTGGCGCTGCTCAATGACAAGGGTGGGGACTGGTATGCAAAATGTCTGTGCATTTTCAGGGCGGTTGACCGTGATGGGGATTGGAAGGGGTACGCATATGTGAGGTACTATGAGAAGGCTGGGAGCTGCAACCTCACGGGATGTGTTATCGGGCGGTGATGTTATTATACACTCGTGCTCGGGTGATAAGACGTTCAATCAGGTATAGAAGTGCAGTATGGTGGTTAATTTATGAATTGTATAACGCGTACGGGTACCCTTATTCCTTGCGCGGTCGGGGTTGCACAACCACAATGTGTCGTGGTGCACACTCGAGGTCTCAGGCAGTTGGTTGTTTGGATATGGGTGACGCGTACGTGGCGTCGTGGGGGCGGGATGTCCTATGTGGGCGTTACAGGTTGTCGTATCAGAGGATAGCGTTATCTCTGTGCGGCGCAGGGAATGTGGTCGGTTGGTTGTGTGGCCAATTTCAACTGCTGTACACAGTATGCGTGCAGGGGCAAGCCGGGGGTACGTTACGGTCAAATGAAACGTATATAGGAGGAGGTCGTGTGCACTTCAAAGCATACTTGCATACCAAAGGGACAGTGTGTTACAATGGGTGACCTGAAGGCCCTGCTTGCTACCGCACATCCGGATGACGTGTTATGCTTCCACCAGATAAATTTTCTTCCCAGCCGGCTGCCGAAGTCGTACATTCCGGATAAGCGCAATGTGGTGGAGCGTATCGCCAGCGTCGGCATCCTCTACAATGCGACGGGGATTTGTTCCGCAGTGCCTCTGGTGGTGCTAGAGCCATCCAATAGGCCTGAGCGCCGGCGGGCGGGCGCCGCATCGCGCAAGGTGGCCGTTCGGTATACGAACCGCGGACGATTGACGCCGGAGGTATGGATTGTTGACTTTGTGTGCATTTTTATGGTTGGACGTGCATAGCACGTGTGAGTACATAAGGAGCACGTCCATCTCCGATGTATTTGCGTACCGCAATGGCCGTTGGTGACGTGCTCGCTATGTTTGATTCACTGCATACAGGTATTCACGGAGTTTGTGGAGACCGTAAACGGTGTGCACTTCAGCCGTGATCGCAACACCATCATCCTCACCATTCACAAGGCGCATCGCATCACAGGCAAGGTGGCGCCGCCCGTCACGGAGCACGGCTTCAGTGTGCAGCACCTCAAGAACACCCGAGTCGTCAACATTCGTGGATCGGTTCCGGAGACGGGCCTGCCGCACCTGCAGGGAGTGGGTGACGCGCTGAAGGCGTATTACCGCGTTATGCTGATAAGGCGTGCGATAGGGTCCAAGCGGTTCCAGTTCGACTATTCGGCTTCCATCGCTGATGTCGACTATAACGACATACTCGAGTGGCTGGGAGAAGCGTGGACTCCTGTGCGCACGGCTACCATGCAGCGGAGCTGGTGGCGCGCAGGATGCGTGCCGGCGAGCTGGCCGCCCCTGATGGCGTACCTGGGTGACACGTGTGCAACCGGCATGTTCGAGCCTATTATTTCGGTATGCGTCGATTTGCTGTTGCTTATCGAGAAGTTCATGGTAAGGCATGCGTGCTACATGACGGCCGCGGATTTTATCAACTGCGACGCGGGACTATGCGTGGAGCAGGGGTTCAGAGCCACACCTGCTTCGCATACGTGAAGCGTGCCGATGAGCTCGGCAACCCCCCGGCGGCTGTGCCTGCAGAGGTCGGAGCATCGAACCAGGAGGTGATTTCCCGCCTATGCAGGACGCCTGTCAAGAGGGCTTGCGTAGGGGGGCGAGCTGAGAACGGGACAGCCGAAGAAGTGCTGCAGAGTGATGAAATGCTAGAGAGTGATGACGACCAGTGATACGTCTGGCAGTAGTGGGGTTTGGTTGTTGGAGTTGACAGTGTGCGGTATCGTACGTAGGGGGGACGCATTGTTGATGTTGGTGTTGTGGTTGTTATTGTGTGTGCAATGTTATGTTGAGTTGGTGGAATAATTTTGGCTAATGTGGATATGAGCACCCTAACAGTGCACACACATGTTGTATTGTGACGGAAACAACGAAGCAGCATATTTATGTCGCGGATTTTGGTTCTCACGAAATGGGAGCCGCGATTACGACTCGAGATGTAGGTGTGCGCTTCGAGTTTCCTACATGTTTGTGGAAAAGTTACCGCCAAGTCACTTTTGTGTGTATGTAAGGAATTTTCTCGGCATTCCTTACGGAGCCGACTACATCGCGTACAGCAACAATCGTTGTTCGCCCGTTACTGCTAACGGGACTTCGCTGACTTCGCGCGCACTGTTTTGCCAAACCTCGCACTGGTGGCATGGCCGTATCGGCCTACGCTTCGGGACTAGCCCGAGCCTCGCTCCAGCGTAGCACTAGCAAGCTCGCACGCACCGCGTTACCGTTCTGCATGTTTCGCGTATAAATGTTCGCTCATGCCTTCGCTCACATTTTGTACTCGTTTGACACCTTAGTGCAATTCTTGCTACTTCGATTCATTGCACCCGTAACACTTGGTTATCTGAGCCCCTTTCTTTCGGACCGCGCATCTCCGCACACCAGGAAATCAACTTTTGATTTTTCACTCGAAGGGACTCACGCACCTTAGCCCCTAGGAGCCGCTGTCCTCGCGTTCTCTCGTAAACGCGTGCAGCCACGACTGCGCCTAGACTAAGACGAGCCGACGCCCTTCGTCATGGCTGAAAATATCGACGTCACCACCCTCACGCAGGAGCGTTTGAACGATCTGCTGCGACAGCTGCGCGAAAGTTCCGAGGAAATCGCGGCATTGACGGCAGAACGCTCATCGCTGCAAAATGACCTCACGAGGGCACAACAAGCACAATCTCAAGCACCTGGCACTCCGATTCAACTTGCACCCTCGACATCACAACACGGGAGTGTGGGGCAACCCGCGAGCGCGGCCAGTGATGGCGTCGTCCGCCCCGACGGGGACGATGACCACGGCACGACACACCCCAGAGCGACGCATGCGGCCCCAAGTCAGCCTCGCGTCACGATTTCGGCACCAACCCACGATTCGGGACTGCCGTCACCGAGGCCGCTGAAGCCGCAGCGCCCGCCATGTTTTGACCCGAGTCAACGGGGTGGTCCTACCGTTCAGGCGTGGTTGTTCACGATGAATGTCTTCTTCGACGCCAACTACGTCTCGGAGGACTCGGCGAAGATTCGATACGCCGTGTCGCTGTTGCGAGGACCCGCCATGGACTGGTGGCGCGTCATCGTCACGAAGCCGACAGACTACGCGACACTACCGACACGGGAAGGACAAACCGGACCCTGGGCGCCGTCGTATTTCGTGGAGGTGCCCCAGTATCGCACGTGGGATGCGTGGTGCGCAGGTCTGCGCGCTCGATTTGAGCCAATTGCGGCTTCGATCGCGGCGCGACAGAAGCTCCGCACTTGGCGCCAACTCGGTTCCGTCCAGGACTACACGAGCGGATTTCTGGCGCTATGCGAACAGGTGGGCTACATGCATGAGAGCGAGCGCATCGACCGCTACATTGGCGGCCTGAAGCAGGACATCGCTCAGGAAATCCAGCTTCGCGGCGTCACCGAATTTCAGGAAATTCTCGCTATGGCGGAGAAGCTCGACTTCTTTCGCCGACCGAGACCGGGGTCCTACGGAAACAACAACTGGGGACATCGGCCTCGTGGGACGAACGAGAGCGCCACGATACGCGCCGTCGCCGCAAATGCCGCTGCCGCACCGTTCAAAGGGCGCTGCTTTGCGTGCAATCGGCCGGGACACCGCAAGAGCGAATGCCCGGAAAACGCTAAGGGAAAGGGGGAAGCTGAGCAGCAGACACAGACCAAGCAGCAGGGAAACGCTGGAAGTCAGTAGCAGACGGGCCCTCTACTGACAGGTCACGCCGCTCGCCCGACCCAACCGACCCTCACCGAGTGATTGTGCCGGTTCACGCAATCGACCACACCCGGCCGAATAAGGAGGGTACCACGGTAGACAACCCTATACTGCTCAGTGGGAAAATTGGGACGGACTTAGTTAAAATCTTCATAGACGGGGGAGCCAGCCACAGCCTCATTAACACTGCTACGGCACGAAAACTGCGACTGCCACTGGACAGATGCCTACCTAAGATCGACGCACGACTGGTAGACGGCACGCCGCTGGCAATACGGGAACGCGTGGACCGAGTTCGGATTCGATGCGGGGGTAACTTCACATTCAGCCCGGAAATGCTCGCGACGACCCTCGACGGAACCGACATTTTACTCAGGCGTGATTGGCTGCGACGACACAATCCGCGAATCGACTGGACGACGGGTGACTGCACCGTGCGAGTGAACGGTAACAACATCGCCTTACCTCGCTGGGGCTCGCCTGAGTCTTCGTCGGTGCGTGTCAATGCGATCACGATGAAACGCGTTGTAGCGGCCGGAGCTGACGTGTACGCGGTTGACATTCGGGAAGCCGAGGCAGCAGACAAGGGAGGGGATTTACAGAAACTGCTGACCGACGTACCGAGTGATCTGGCAGCACTGTTAACACGATACAGTGACATTTTCCCGTATGACTTACCGACGGGACTGCCACCTCAGCGACCGCACGATCAGAGGATAGAACTGGAACCGGGGGCACAGCCAACAGTACAGCGACAGTTCCGACTGACCCAACCCGAACTAGACGAACTAAGGAAGCAGCTCGATTACCTGCTCGAGAAAGAATTCATTCGCCCTAGCTCGTCGCCCTTCGCCGCACCAATACTGTTCACACCGAAAAGGGACGGGGGATTTCGCATGTGCATAGACTACAGAGCACTGAACAGGGTTACCATCAAATCCCGTTACCCCATCCCACGAGCTGACGAACTGATCGACCAACTGCGCACAGCCCGGGTTTTCTCGAAAATTGACCTCCGGGGAGGCTACCACCAAATCCGCGTCAACCCACCCGACTGTCCTAAAACCGCATTCCGAACACGCTACGGATCTTTCGAATACACTGTCATGCCATTTGGGCTGACCAACGCCCCCGCCACTTTCCAAATGACCATGAACGAAACATTCCGCCCACTTTTAGATAAGTGCGTCATCGTTTATCTGGACGACATACTGATTTACAGCCCTGACAGAGCACAGCACTTACAGGACATCGAAGCAGTTTTTAAAATCCGGAGTGAGAACCGCCTACTGACCAAAGCATCTAAGTGTGAGTTTTTACAGGACCGCCTGGAGTTTTTGGGACATGTTATTTCAGCTGCAGGAGTGGAAATAGACCCGAAGAAAATTGCGACGATTCAGGCTTGGCACGCGCCGACCAACTTGACCGAGTTGCAGAGTTTCCTGGGGTTCGTCAACTACGTGCGCCGGTTCGTCCCCGACATGGCGAAGCTGACTGCCCCGTTGACCGACCTGCTGAGGAAGGGGGTTGAGTACACGTGGGGGGAGAAAGAGCAAGCTGCCTTCTCGGCCCTCAAAAACATTTTGTGCTCACCGCCCGTGCTTCACATCGCAGATCCACACCGTCCGTTCGAGCTCGTCACTGACGCAAGTGACATCGCTGTGGGAGCAGTACTGTTGCAGGACTTCGGGAATGGCCTCCAGCCAATCGCGTACGAGTCCCGCAAGCTACACCCGCCCGAACGCAACTACCCGATACACGACCGTGAAATGCTGGCGATCGTACACGCGTTCAAAGTTTGGCGGTGTTACCTGACTGGCGCCGACGTGACAGTACGGACAGACCACCGCTCACTACAGTACCTTCGCGCCCAACCGAATCTCAACCCACGACAGATTCGCTGGTTGGACTATCTTGAGTCCAATTTTCACTACACCGTTACGTACAAAAAAGGAGCATCCAACATCGCCGACGCTCTCACCCGCCCCACCGCCCAACTCCACGCCATCCTACTCGCCCAGACCAACCCGCTTTTAACTAGCCTATTCACCCACGGATACCGCACCGACCCATTTTTCACGACCGGAAATTCACAGCAACTGGCAGAAGCAAAAGGAGTTTATTACGTAAAAACAGGCACCAACCGCATTTGGGTACCCGCGTACCCACTACTGAGGGAGCTGCTACTGCAGGAGGCACACGACGGGATTACCTCGGGACATTTCGGGGTAGAAAATACACGACAGCAACTGCAGCGGTATTACTACTGGCCGGAGCTGTTGACCGATGTACAGCAGCACGTGGGCTCGTGCCCTACGTGTCAGGTGATGAAGAGTTCAAGGAAGTGGAAGGCGGGTCAATTGCAGCCGATCCCATCGCCCGAACGCGCCTGGCAGCAAGTAACCATGGACTTCGTCACAGGGTTACCTTCGAACCCTGGGGGTAACGACGCGGTGATGGTCGTCGTGGATAGACTGACGAAGATGGCACACTTCGCAGCGTGCAAAAAGTCGATCTCAGCCGAGGAGACCGCTCGCCTGTTCATCGCAGCCGTCGTTCGCCTGCATGGGATACCAGCAGCGATTATAAGCGACAGGGACACGAAGTTTACCAGCAACTTCTGGAAGAACCTTTTGGAGCAGTTCGGGACCAGACTACAGTTCAGCTCGTCGTACCACCCCGAGACCGACGGCCAAACGGAGCGGACGAATCAGACGATGGAGCAGTTGATTCGTGCCACGTGCGACGACCCCACGACCTGGGAGCAGCAGCTGCCGCTGATCGAGTTCGCGTACAACAACGCCACGTCAGCCACGACGCAGCAGTCCCCGTTCTACCTGAACTATGGGCAAAACCCCACAGTGCCCATGACGCCGAGTCCGGACAACCCAACGCCACGTGCACAACAATTCGCCGAAATCCTGCAAGCTGCCCGCACCAGAGCCGCCGAAGCAATAAAAAAAGCCAATGTCATCGCTAAGCGCAATGCTGACCGCCACCGACGCCCTGTCACGTATCAATCTGGAGATTACGTGCTGCTCGACACGCAAAATCTGCGACTGCCCGACGTACCGAAATTACGACCCCGCTACTGTGGACCATTCCAAATCAGTCACATGATCACACCCGTCACCGCACATCTACTGTTGCCAACCGACTGGTACATCAGCCCTTCGTTCCACGTCAGCCTACTTCGCCCATACATCCCGACCACAAGTCAACTGCCGCGTCACCGCCCACAATCAATGACTCGCCCTGCATCGGAGCCGATCATCGAGCCCGAAAAAATCCTGAGCCATCAGATCCGCCACCCCACGGGAATCAGGAGGATTGAATTCCTCGTTCGCTGGAAGGACCGCACGCCAACTGAAGATAGCTGGGTACCCCTGACCAACATTGAAAAACACCCTGCCCTGCAAGTGTACCTGAGGAGCCGGGGATTCCGCGATATACACGCACTCGCGTAGCGGAGGGGGCTTCTTAAGGGGGGGGGGTAGTGTAAGGAATTTTCTCGGCATTCCTTACGGAGCCGACTACATCGCGTACAGCAACAACCGTTGTTCGCCCGTTACTGCTAACGGGACTTCGCTGACTTCGCGCGCACTGTTTTGCCAAACCTCGCACTGCTGGCATGGCCGTATCGGCCTACGCTTCGGGACTAGCCCGAGCCTCGCTCCAGCGTAGCACTAGCAAGCTCGCACGCACCGCGTTACCGTTCTGCATGTTTCGCGTATAAATGTTCGCTCATGCCTTCGCTCACATTTTGTACTCGTTTGACACCTTAGTGCAATTCTCGCTACTTCGATTCATTGCACCCGTAACAGTGTACGATGACGCTGTGCGTTTCTGATGTGCAAAAAGTTGCGATTCGGGTGAGGTGTTTTTATGCAGCTTTCCGCAACTTTCTCGCAAGGCCAACGCAGAAAAACCTTCGGGGGCCAAAAATCGCAGCTTTCCTTTTTCGCGATGCTAGTGATAGAGCACAGGTCACAGAGGTGTTCGGAGGGAGTACTTCATGATTGCGTCACAGGAGGGGAGTAACACGAGCGACGTGTAGGATCAGCAGCAGATTTCGTTACAAATTCACCACAACACAGCTCACCGCCACTAACCTACCGCTGCTAGCCTGAAAGCAGCTAGATGTGAGATGGGGCTTGCTTGAGTCTCTCGGTGGATTCCTAACAAACAGAGCTGTTTCAAACAGAGCTTCTTGCTCAGAAGGCTTCCGTGAATTTCCTGTCGTCATTTTCCGAAACCCTCCTGTATTTCGAACGCAGTTTTTGCCTATTCGCCGGCGGTTGCGTAGCTGATCGTTGGCGGTGATGGGTAGCCGTGGAGATGAGGTAGCTCTCAGTCTTACAGCACCCGCTGATGCCGAGAATCATCATGAGGTGAGGGTGATGCCGCAGCCAGTGAAACATCACAACATTTTTTGCCGATTCCCTCGATTCTCACCACATCCTCCTCCTTAGGAAAAGACGACGGATTTGTATTATCCTCGCTCTCTAACTCTCCCTCTTTCTGTTAATTTAACACATTCCCCAACCCAGATCGTGGACGTGGTTGATCTGGTGCCCGGCCCCATCTGGCACATCATCTTCCGCCACTTGCTGCTGGGTAGCTCCTCCGGCGCATCACAAGAGGAAGGAGCAGGCAGCGCCTCCGGCGCATCACTATTTAGTCGACTCAAAAAGAAGCTGCAGAGTCTGGGTAACTCCTCGGGCGCATCACAGGAGGGAGCAGGCAGCACCTCGCCGGGTGCCACTGGGAGTGGACTTCTGAGTCGACTGAAAAAGAAACTGCAGAATTGGGGTAATTCCTCGGGCGCATCGCAGGAGGGAGGTGCAGGAGACGCGTGCTTCGGCTCCTGCTGGCCTCTGCTGCGCTGCGCCATGGTCTGCAAGAGGCTCCTCTACCATGTCGCCTCCTTCCCCGTGAGTCTCTCATTGCTCCCCGTAATCCATGGTAAATTTCTTCTCTGGGTGCTGAGTTATGATGCGGTCACGGCTATGCTCCTCAACCGTCTTCTTGTCCGTAGCTGCGAATGAGCATGATTTCGAGCCAATGACGCTGCCAAGCAACACACAGCAGAATTTTAAGTTGACTCACAAAGTCGCTCCTCAAGCACCTTTCAAATCGCCATCTCCATCTCTCCATGTGTCTGTCTCTCCATCTCTCCGTCCATCTCTCCGTCCATCTCTCCGTCCATCTCTCCGTCCATCTCTCTGTCCATCTCTCCGTCCATCTCTCCGTCCATCTCTCCGTCCATCTCTCTGTCCATCTCTCCGTCCATCTCTCTGTCACTCTTTGTACGAGCAGGAGTTCGAGCCCATGAAGCTGACTATCAACTCCGAAGACCCCGCGCTCACACGTCCCTCAGGAACGCTCTCTTTGTTTCTCAGGCACGCGCCTCACACGCCCCTCAATGTCGTTCTCAACAGCTCTCAGGACCTGCACTGCCTCGGCCGTCTCTTGGGACCCTCTGCGCGCTCCCTCACAACCTTGTGCCTTGGGCTCAAGGAACCTTTCCACGGATTCAGGCCACGGCTGATGCATTCAGCATTTCTAGGGGAGTTTGAGCAGCTGCAGAAGCTGGAGCTAGGCCACGGGACTTGGCAATTAGGCAGCCTGAATCCAGCAATGTTCCGGGCTTTAAGGAGTCTGAGCATCCACGATTTCGAGCACGGCAGAAATGTCCTGCCCGTTCTCTCATCCATTGCGCCGCAGCTGCATGAACTCGCTCTCGCCTGCTCCACCCATGGCTCTGGCTCTGCCTCTACCACCCTCGATTTCAAGTTCACCGCTGCTCGATCTATCACAGTCTGCTTTGAGAATCAAGTGCTCCACCTCCGCATCGCCCTGCCTGCCTCTTTAAAGTCCTTCTCTGCCACTGCGGCCTGTCTCAATGTGGATTGCTCATGCAACAGCAGCCCCTTTCTTGACTCGCTCTCTCTCATTGGCCGCTCGCAGCTTCTCGTTTCTTCGCTCCCATTGGCTGCCGCCAAATCCGTCTACTTGAACGGAGCTAGCACCCAAAATGACCAGTGGCGTGCTTTTCCCTGTTCCGATCTCGAATCTCAGCGTACCGTGACCCACCTACTCAGCAGCATAGCGCCTACAGTGGAGATACTTGTATTGAGGTACGGCTGGCCTCTGGAGGGCGTGCGTGCGGAGTGGAGCCGCCTGCGCCGCCTTTTCGTTGGTATAGATCGTAAGGGCACTGGGGGGATTCGTTATAAATCTCGTCCGGGGAATCCGGAAGATTCTGATTTTCGGGAGATCATTCGTGCAGGAGAAGAAAAGGGCTTCAGAAGCAGCGGCGACTTGTTGATTAATGCTCCGAACTTGGAGTATTTTCACGATGCCACATGGTTGCTTGATATTGAGATGTGTGGGAGGAAAGGGGGGCGGGATTGTTTGGGAGAGTTGAACGAAGGTACAGGGAGGTGGTCAGGATTTTGAGTGAGTCGAACCGGGTGTGAGGGTTGCATGTGCGAGGGAGGTGTGTGCAGGGACGAGCAGGAAGGTTGGTGTGTGCTGATAACGGTGGTGGCATTGGTGTGACCATGGGGTGGTGAGCCCATGGGGGGTGTGCACCTGTGTGGTGCACTGTAAACCCTTGGCGATGGGATGACCATAGGATGACGATGGGATGGCGATGAGGCTCGCAGTGGGGATGGCAGTGGTGGGCAACTGTGGTGCTTCTGTAGCTGTGGTGCTGTGGTGCTGTGTCATAACTTAATGGCAGATGCTCTTGTTTGTTGTCTGTTGTCTGTCTGCTGCCTGCTGCCTACTGCCTGCTGTTGTCTGCTGCCAGAGCACAGCGCATCTGCTAGGCCAGCTGAGCACGGTAAAGCAGAGGACTTCGTGAGGGCTGGTTATACTTTACGGTATCGATGTTATGTACCGGTATGGATGTTGTATAATTTTGCTTGGTATCGATGTCTAGTGTTCAACTTGCTTTACTTCCCATTGCCATCCCTTCCAATTCTATCGCATAGAGGTAATATTTTCATTTTAGAGCTCATGTGTTCCTCTGTAGAAAAATATATAGCACACGTGTGCGCTAAGGTAACACGCCAAGTCTCAGGTGCCCATACTCATGTTCCCCAGGAATCATCTGCTCAGTTGATATCTTGTTAGTGCACGCTGCAATTGATCCCTGCGCCCTCCACCACATTGTCCCTCGCTACAAGCACATCCAGTAGAATCGGGTGCAAGGCCTAGTGAGCTGCCATGCGGGTGCTCTCATCTGCTGCCATGCGGGTGCTCTCATCTGCTGCCGTGCGGGTGCTCTCATAAGCAGGTAGCAGTGTGAGTGTGTACTCTCCGTATCCCGGCAGTGCCTGCGACACAGAGATCAACTGCAGTGCACTCGCCTGTGGGGGTAGAGAGGGGGGCGGGGAGAGGGCAAGGAAGGAAATAGACAGTGGGTACTGAGTCTGAGAATCGGCTTCCAGCCAAGGGAATGGTGTGCAAACTGACCCCCGTGAAGGACGGATCCGATCCCATCCCACCCCATCCCACCCCATCCCACCCTATCCCACACCATCCATCCCATCCCAACCCATCCCATCCCATCCCATCCCACCGCTCACCCGCCTCTCATTCTCACTGGCCACCGCCTCTCGTGCCACTCGCTGCACGTCCACATCAGACAGGTCAACGTAAGTCAACTCGACGCCACATGCAGCGGTCGGCCGCAGCACCACGTGCCTCAGTGCAGTCTCCTGCTCCTTCTTCTTGCTCGCATGCTCCGACCCTACCTGCATGCTGAACCACCTCAAGCTGTATTCCCCTCCTCCCCCACCTCCCCCTCCTGCTGTTCCTGCTGTGGCCACTGCTGCTGCTGCTGCTGCTGCTGCTGCTGCTGCTGCTGCTGCTGCTGCTGCTGCTGGAGCGGCCGGAGCGCCTACATGTGGTGGAAGGGCAGCAGGCGTGAGTGCTGAAGGCGCGGGCATGAGAAGGACCCAAGAGAGGAGCGCGTCGTAGGAGGCGGTGCGGCCGCGCAGCAGTCTGAGAGCCGTCTGTGAGAGGCGGTACTCCCTGTGGCCTGCGCTCCAGTTGCCTGCGCGCCACCCGCGCCAGACTGATCGGTTCTAGGCTGCCGTTCTGGCGTGGGGTGAGGGGAGGGGAAGAAGGGTGGAAGGGGGGAACGCCGTCAGTGAAAGGCGTGCTACTCCTCGTGGGTTGCGCTCCAGTCGCCGATGCTCCAGTAACCTACGCGCTCTACCCACGCCAGACTGATCGGTTCTAGGCTGCCGTTCTGGCAGGGCGGCAGGGGGAGTGGGGAAGTGCCGGCAGTGAATGGCGCTACTCCTCGGACTAGCAGCCTGCTCTCCAGTTGCCTGCGCGCTCTGGCGCCAGACTGATCGGTTCTAGGCTGCCGTTCTGGCGCGGGGGGCCGGGGCGAGAAGGGAAAGAGAGGATAGGGGGAGGAGGGAAAAGGCGGAGAACGGAAGATTTCATTCGGAAAGGGGTGAAGGGGAAAGGAGGAGGAGAATGGACCCTCAGCTGGATAGACTTCAAGAGTGGTGCTCTTGGGACAATGATTGTCGCCTGTCGCCTGTCGCCTGTCGCCTGTCTCCTGTCGCCTGCCTGTCGCCTGTCGACTGCCTCGCCGTGGCCTCGAACTGCGAGTCGCGGTGTGTCGGCTTGGCTTCAAGAGTACAACGCTTGACTTGAGACGCATCAAGAGTCGTTATGCTGCTTCACGGCGAGTCAGCTTTAGTTTTGAGTCGACTCAAAACACGAATCACGGCGAGTCACATCCCAAAAATGGGTTGGGGTGTGCAGTAGGTTTGTGAAAGTTAACTTTCTGTGCGGGTGGATGGGAGTATGTTTCTAGTAGGTTCAGTAGTTAGACTAGTAACTCTCACGTAGATTCTGCCAACTTTCGGAACTAGGGTGGGATGAGTTCGAAGTAACATCGCGGCAGGTTTTTTAGTTGGCCAATCCGAACCCCCTAGCCTATCAGCCTTGTTTCGAAACTGTGCACCACAGCATGGTTTGAAAAATGTACAGTAGTTTCTGCTCTGTTTCATAATTATACGCAAAATAGTGTGATTGTCACAACTTCTGAGTTTTTGACGGATGATTAGGGTTCAATTAATCTCATCAAATATAATTATGTAAAGCATTCGACAAATTAGATTATAGTAATTACTAATGTCAATTTAATATATTTCGAGCTACTATAAGCCTAAGTTTAGTCAAGTATTTATTTTTAACTTGATATTTACATTTACAATTCGTGAACACCTAACATGTTGATGAAAGATCATGAGGGTTTAGTGCAATATATAGCTACATGCAGAGTGCGTAAGATGGAATGCGCGTCAACAATCTGAAATCGTACATCACGTCGGGATTCGTGCAACTTTGTGCAGGCCGCGACCAGGGACGTCGCTAGTAAAGAAGGCTGTCTTAGAATCAGACAGAAGTTCTGGCCTTAGTCTGACCATCAGACGGATTTGTTAGCACGGTCTAACCCTATAAATGAAAGTGGTTTGTATTGTCTGTCGATTCAGACGATGTTTAGATACTATTCTGTAGCTAACATTAACGTTACAAGTCAGCTAACTTACTGAGTCTCGCTATTAGATTCACTAGAACTAACAGAGCAAGACTCCTCGTCATCATCCTCTGATGCTACGACTACTTGACGCTTCTTCCTCCTCCACGCGGGGATGAGTGCCCCCTCGGCGGCTACTTTTTTCTCTCTCCCTCGCCGCTGCCGCCTCTGCTTCATGCGCAGCTCTTGAGGCTGCGGCTGCTGCTGCTTTCGATGCTGCGACTGCTGCTGCTTGAGCCGCCTCTGTTGCACGCTTTGCTCGCTTCACAGAGCGCCCCGCCTGTGCCATCACGCCCTCCTCCCGTGCCATACCGACATGATCCCCTACGGCTCCAGCTCGTAATCAAGCAATGACATCGTCATCAGCTCCCCGAGAGTTGCAATGCAAAGGTTGCTGCGAATCCAACTCTTGATAACGTTCCGCCGGCTAAACCCCCGCTCGCACTCAACTGTGCTAAGCGGGAGCACGGCCACTACCATCCACAGCCTGACGAGGTTCGGGTAGGCTGCGGTCCAGTCGTCGCTCGCGAGCATGTGCTTCAAGCTGTCGTGGAACGAGAGGTCCTCATGGTGGGTAGCGATGATGTTGGTGAAACTTCACAACTCCTTCTTAGCCTTGCCCCAGTGGATGCCTGTTGATCCAAATGATAGGGAGGGGGCAGCCGGACCGCCATGAGGGACGCCGCTGTTGAGATAGTAGTGAGAGTAAGGCGCCATAGCTAGGAGAACCCTAGCTAGGCAAGCGAGAATTGAAGCAAAGGAGAGGGATTTCACTAGCAGCAGCAAGGATACATATAGCAAACCCTAACAGGGTTGTACTCGCTATAGAGCACCCCACTACAGGCTAGTGAATATAACATTCTGACACACCCCCCTAGCCAAAGTGGGGTGTAATCAGCACATTAAGTAAAGCTAGAGGCTAACACAGCGGGCAAGTGAGGAGGAGGAGGGACAGTGAGAGGAGAGGAGATAGGAGGCGGCGGCTGAAGCTGCAGACACACGGGCAACAGGAGTGGCGAGCACAGTGGCTACCGGGACAGCGCCCCGGACTACAGGAGTAACTGGCTCCGCGGCTAAGACGAGCGGCAGGAGCTACGGACCCACAGGCGACTGGCGCAGCGACAAGCTCACTGGGCTACCGGGACAGCGCCCCGGACTACAGGTGCTGCGGACGACAAGACGGCAGTCTCCGCTCAACCTCCCGCAAACAGTCCCACACACCCCCCACACACCCACTGCTTCACCCTAGCTCCACTCCCCCGTCACCCCCCAAGTACCACTCCGACGGTTCCACTCCCACATCCACCCCCCTCAGCGGCAGCTGCAGCAGTGGGAGACTGAAGAGGAGGAGGAGCAGGTGGAGGAAGTCACAGCCGACACCCCCATAGCCGCCACCCCCAAACCCTAATCCAGGAGAACGGGCTGTAGGAGGGGTGGGGCGCCAGTAGAAGCACGGGGGACAGTGGGGAGGGCAGGGGCAGCGAGGAACGGGCCGCCCACGGGCCTGGCACAGCCGCCCGAACCGCGCGCAGGCGGCCCGAGCCGCGCGCGGGCCTGGCGCGTCCCGTACGGGCCGCGCGCGGGCGTGGCGCAGCCCGTACGGGTCGCGCGCCGGCTGTACGGGCCGCGCGCAGGCCACGACGGGCGACGGGGGGCGACGCGCGGGTCCCCGTCGCCCGTCGCAGCGCCTCCCGGGGGCGACGCGTCGAGTGACGGGGCAGAAACCCGCCGCGCGCCTCGGGGCGCACGGCGGGCAGAGAACCGCCGCGCGCCTCGGGGCGCACGGCGGGCAGAAAACCGCCGCGCGCCTCGGGGCGCACGGCGGGCTGAAAACCCAGAAAAAAAGGAAGAAGGCGTCGCACGCCACGGGGCGTGCAACAGACAGAGTAGCAGTAGCAGCGGAAGCAGTAGTGGGGCCCACAGGCCAAGGACGTAACCGCTCTGATAGCATGTTGAGATAGTAGTGAGAGTAAGGCGCCATAGCTAGGAGAACCCTAGCTAGGCAAGCGAGAATTGAAGCAAAGGAGAGGGATTTCACTAGCAGCAGCAAGGATACATATAGCAAACCCTAACAGGGTTGTACTCGCTATAGAGCACCCCACTACAGGCTAGTGAATATAACATTCTGACAGCCGCGTCACACTTGTCGACGGACAAGTTGGCGAAGAACTCTGTGACGGCAACCCCATGCTTGATAAACGTGAGGTACACGATGAGATGTTTCCCGCGCCGCCTGTCGGTGCTTTCGTCAAGGTGAATCCCGAGGAACGGACTCTCACGGATGTGTCGCAGTTGCTGCGCCTTCAGGTACGAGACCATCGTCGGAAGAAATCTTCGTGAATAGGGTTGCTCCAATGGCTTGGCCCGGGGTGGTGGACCTGCCATGCGCTTCTCCGACAGCATGATGTTATCTCGGAAGCCGCCATATGCGCCGCCTATATCTTCGAACATGGAGAGAGGTACCAGCTACGACCAGCGCCGCGACGAGACCGGGAATGCCTCGCCTTCTACGCTGGTAACACAACGGAGCAACTACCGCGGCGTCGGTTACGGCAAAGTTTGCAGAAAGTTTGGGCGCTAGGCTGAGCGTTTAAATACCGATCTCGCCGTCGCCAGACCAGTTCGAGCCCTTAGTCCGGCCGACAAGACGCACGAAATGACACGGCGTAAAGCCCCCAACTATCAACCCCCATCGCGCACCCTGAACCCAGAGGTTCCGCCCCAGCAGAATCCGCCGTCTGCAACGCCTGCACTAGTTCGCCACACCATCGGGAACATGGCCACAACAAGTGATTCACGTCGCCGCCGCGCGCGCTCGCTGCACCAGAGGCAGCACGCTATCCAATCGATGCATTCACGAACCTTAATCTGCTCAGCACCCGCCACGCCTTCAACAACGATGGCGCCCAGTACTGCAACCTTCCTGTCCAAGTGCTGAAATTCTTATCCCACGTACATGATATGTGGGCGGCACAGATCGCTTGGATCTCGCGCGTGCAACATTCGAAGTTTAGAGACACCGCACATCGTCTTTCCGCGTCTGGCGTCGCTCGCACGTAACGATCGCAAGTGCTTCAACACCTCGTACCTGGATAGCTGCTGCGGAGAGCACATGGTTGGGTGCGAGCGTCTTGTCCACAACGCTAGGGTTAACCCCAATGGACACCTTCGTTATTGTGGACAGCAACACCCGCCGGC